TCATCTACATAAAATATATATATCAAATATTTCACTCGGTTTAAAGATTAAAATTATGAATGATAGCGCAAATTTTTAAAGAATGTCTTGGAAAAAGAACCGTTTCAGCAATATATTATCCTACCTGAATTTTCTTATTATTCTGTGATTTCAGGATTTTTCCTTCCGTATTTAATCAATCGAGAAGATATAGAAGCGTAAATCACACAGACTGATTAGGGTAACCCGCAAAGAAGGGCGATGGATATCGCTATAGAAATATTGTGAATACGCAAACAAACAACGTGAGAACAACAATAAATTCAGAGTAGATCTATTAAACTAATACAGACTCGACATTGAGCATATGCGATAATTTTCAGACAAAGACCAGAGGTTACAGCAGTTGAAACGTTTTGAATAAACAAACCGCAAATATACAAGTCTCACATTATGAAATAATCATACTTATTACAAAACCCAGGTTGTGTGTCTGTACGTTTATATATTGGATCGGATTTCCTTCATTTTTCAACCGATTTCAACAAAACTTCACAGGACTACGTAAAATTACCTTGCGGTAGTTCTGACAGCGCCAGAAATTGGAAAAACACAATTGTTTCTGCATGAATCAATTTGAAAAGACGATTAAGAGGCATCGCGAGAATGAAAGGGGACAACTCATATCGAGTTATACTTATTATAAAACCCAGCTTTGTGTGTGTGTGTGTGTGTGTGTGTTTGTTTATATATGGGATAAGATTTCCTACATTTTTCAACCGATTTCAGCAAAACATCACTGTTTTTTTTGGGGCAGGTAGTGTTTCTTATTGTCTTGCACACTTTTTTCTTTATTTTTACATTCAGAATGCTTTAAAAATTCCATTTACAAGACAATTGTTTATAATAAAATTCTATTCAATCGGTAGACTCATAGCGATTGAAAATAATGATTTTTGTTTGAGTTTGGTTTTGATCCATTCGTAAAAAGAAAAAATACAAAACAAAAAAAACTAAATAAGACATTCATGACCGTCAACCTTAAACAATAATCTTTGTCAATTTTATTTTTCAGTCTTTATGATGGTCGATACTTGATCTATCTCTTAATTGTTACATCCCCGGGCAACGCCGGGCTCTACTGCGAGTATATAATATTTAATTAGTCTTAAAACACTGAGAAGTCCGAATTAATTTGGGGTATAATAACAGTTCCTTGCTTGTGTGAATTTAGAGAGAAATTAACAGAACTGTATTGATTTAACATTGACAAAATATCCAACATCAGGAAAAACGACTGAAAACGTCGTGAATATAAAAATAGCCAAGGCAAGCAGAACTTCAAAAGAATTAATGGGTAATATTAATTCCCTTTTTGAATGAATTCACAGAGAAATAACGGCACTAGCCTCACACAGATGAAATACGACTAGCCTCTGAAAAAGGACTTGATAATTTTGCCGAAACATTATGAATTTAAACATTTGCGATGTAATTACAACGATCTTAATGAATTAATAATAATAATAATGATAATGAAAAATTGTATTGAATCCAAATGCAGATTCTGTGATAAATAACCAGAAACAATTGGCCATCTTGTAGCAGGTTGCACTGAATATAAAATTCGACATGAAAGAATGGGAAAATATCTGCACAAGAAAATATGCAACTTTTACGGGACGAAAACTGCAAGAAACTGGTATGAACATTACCTAGACCCAGTTATAGATATAGGACCTGTATCAATTTTATGGGACTTTACAATACCTAAAAATAGAACAATCAAAACTAATCGCTCAAACAACGAGATCAAAGACCCCCAAAACAGATTGTGATTTCCTATTGTCGTGACAGTTCCTGCAGATTGCAATTTATCTTTGAAGATGTTCAAAAAAAAAAAAAAAAGAAGAAAAACTATTAAAATACAAAGATCTTGAAGTGGAAATCTGAAAAATGTGGCACATGAGAACGTCAATAATTCCAATTGTAGTTGAAACCCTCGGGTTGGTTCCGATAGACTCTTTGAAGAGATTCCTGGAAGCTTATGCCTTAAAGAAATACAAAAAACAAAAACAAAAAAAAACAAAAAACTTACTTACAAGTACATCTCACATATTACGAACAGCTTTAACTATGTCAAATGTGCGTGGTCTTTAGTTTTTGTTTTTTTTTTTACAAAAATGAGCAGTTTAAAATTTCATAGAGCTATTTCTATCCTTAGGCCTCTTGATGGGAGATGAAAGAAAACGGGTATAAAACAGAAATCAAAGGAAATAATAATAATAATAATAATTCCTCTTTTGAATGAATTCAGTGAGAGATTAACAAAAGTGTCTAGTCGCGGCAGTTGTTCTAGGATACACTGGTTGAAACGTTGTGAATATTAAAAAAAAATATCAGCCAAGATAAACACACTAATTCGAATGAATTAATGGAAATAATAATGATTCCTCTTTTGAATTAATTCACAGAGACATTGAGAGAACTGTATGTTCCAACATTGCAAAATAATGGAAGC